TCGTTAGGGCAAAAATATAAGGCAGCGTTCAAACAAAACAATGACCACAACATAACGCAGTGAGCCGTGCAGGCCTGTCTTTGATTATTATCAAAACCATTCGGCAGATAAAGTCCAGAATGAAAGGAGGTCAATATAGAAAGACCCTCGCCAAGATTTGGTTCGAAGGAATAATTCGTACACGAGATATCCGAGGAAATCTTTTACCCAAATTTATAGAGTTTTGTATGGAGACGCCATACTGGAGCTCATTGGGATGAGCTCCAACATGGCGGACGGAAACCAACAGAAACATTACCGAGTTTTGCTACAAAAGCGTGAATTTAGTCCTAGAGGAACTCATAAACCTTAAAGTAATATGTTTTCTAATACTAATACGATCTTTTCCACGAAAATCCTCTAACACCGCGTCCCCCCATGATGGCTCACAACGCCAGAGATTTCACATGAAATCGAGGGTGCAGATCAAATTCCCCACCCCTGACACACCGGGATCAAATTCCCCACCCCCTGGACGACTCTGATAATCAAGTTCCCTCCTCCCCGGGACGGCAAAGGTGTCAAATGCCCGGGGTATGCCCGGGGTATGCCCGGGGTATGCCCAGGGTGGGGGTTGTTGAAGCGTCGATTTGACCGATACATTTTTTAAACACTGATACTCGGTCAGATTATTGTCACAAATCTTACAAACGTGCATAAACTACGCTCGACTTCGTTAAATTAGGCACAAAAAACAAACATCAAATACAATAATTACTCAGGTTTACCATTCAAAATGCAGCTTCTGGAAGCTATCAATTAAGTAAGGTTACAAACGCTTCAGACTTTTCAACCCACTTACGCATCAAACAAGGTGAAAACCAATAACGATGCCATCCGAAATCGGATTTCCGAGTTTGACAAGGGAAGCATTTCTAAACCAAAAACCCAATAAACAAACTAGCCATAAATAACAGAAGACTCTTGATCAGCTGAATTTCATTTTGTATATCCAGTAGAAAAAGACAGTTAAAAACATCACAAGTTGACACAAAACTTTGTCAGCTTCAGGTGTCAAGTAAACAGTTTCAAGATGCTGCATAAATTTTTCGCATGAACTCACCTGTCAAATTTTGACCAATCAGAGCATAAAAATTGGACGTAGAGCGTGACCAACGCGTGACCATGGTGAGAAAAGTCAAAATCAACTGTCGTCCCTGCCTGTAATGGCTGGCTGAATTTTCGCGTCCGAGGTCAGTTTGAAATCAAAATTTTAATTGTGCGGCACATAAACACAACATATTTCATGAATTTTGAAAAAAGTAAACTTGAGCCCGCGATCATTTGAAAACTAGTAACTTATTGTCGGGGATAACTTCAAAAAAATACTCGACCTCGATAGGTGGACACCTGAGCTCGCGATACGGTCAGGTGATACTGGCCAGCGGATACCCTGTTTTGGCAGCTGTTAATTGACCACAACATTGATGTGCAATAGGTGTGCAATATAAATTTTCCTGTGCTCCCAGACATTGTAGCTAGAGAGTGTGAGATTGAACATTGGTTTTCCTGTGGTGTGGACGGACGGTCGGGCGTACAGTCACCTGATTACCGAAATTTCTCGGATGGGTAGATAAACAAATTTTCTTACCCATGGTGCTCCGCTTCGCGCGCGAGGAGCTCCGCATAAAGCAGCCAGCAAAGACACTATATCTCGGTGGATAAAACCATCTTAGAACTTGCTGGAATTGATTTAAGTCGCTATAAACCTCATAGTATCAGGTCTGCGTCAGCCAGTGCAGCTGCAGGTTCCTGTTGACACTATTCTTCGAACGGCAGGTTGGTCAGGACATTGCACTTTTGCAAAGTATACGTATTACAAGAAGCCAATTCAACAATGCAACATAGAGAATTGGCAAAAGTTCTGGCCCCGGTTGTTCAAAAGTTGGATAGCGCTATCCACCGGATAAATCGCTATCCAGTGGATAAGTATACACCGATTCAGCCTAAGACCGGAAGTTGCATGAAAGCGAGGCCTAAGGGCTATCTTTCGCGCGAATCTCAAAAATCATGGCGGAAAACACCGAGACTTTGCATGGAAGACATGGAATGTCTTCTGATGTAAACCTTACACCAGAAGACATTCCATGTTCATCCGTGAAAAACGGAGAAGACATATAAGTAAATGGACAATTCCACAATTAAAATTTTGGTTGAAATGCAGAAGACTGAACCAACAGGGACTGAAGAAAGATCTTGTCGAAAAGTAAGTTTCGCAGCAACTGCATTATATAAACACTGTTATCTAACCTTCAACGCTAGTCAACAAAATTTCGTTTTCGCTAAAATCTTTTCTTCCTGCTTTTAATTTGAGATTTCTTTCTTTTCTGGGGCAGGGTTAAGGCATTCAACGCGATTCCTTACTACAGAGAGAAAGTTTTTGACCCTGATCCTGAGAAGAGCTACACGAAAGCAAAGGGTGAAAAGCTAAAGACCTTTAATATCGAAACAGTCCAGACTGAGCTGATCGACCAACAAGAAAGCTCGTGTAGTTCGATTTTAGACACTTTCCCACCGGATGAAAACACTCAATTTTCAGAGGACTTTACTGTTTTGCCCCCATTTGTGCCTATGGATGCCTTTGAGCAGGTAAAAAATTCTGGTAAGTCCATGAAAAAATTTACCAATGCAGCAGTTGTTATAAACTCAAATGACAAAGGCCTCCGTATGGTCAATTTTGTGCACGATTTACAGGTGTATAATAACACAGAAAATAACATCATATACGTCCGTGCCTGCTGTTGGGCTTCCTATAAGAGGAATGTTAAATACAAGGTGAAAATGGTTTGTAAACAAAGTGGGACCCCAAAGATTCTAGCAGCAAAGTGTGATAGGCAGTGTCCGGCTTCCAACAGTGGGTGTTGTTGTCATGTAATGGCGCTCATATGGAAACTTGAGGACATGACGAGAAAGTCAGAGCTAAAAAGTCTCATTCCTGACAACAGATGCTGCACATCAAAACCGAGGGAATGGGGAAAAGGGGGTAGACGAGAAGTAGAGTTCTCTCCAGTGATGGCTTTAAAAATAACAAAACCAAGACATGCGTCTGACTTACCTGGTAGGAAGAAAAGGAGTATTCACTCTCAGTTTTACGATCCCAGACCATTGAAATCACAGAAGCTTGATGCTGATGGAATTGTAAAGCTGAGGCAAAATCTTCAGAAAATAAATGCTCGTATACCCTTTGCTGCTATGTTACCAGAGGAAAAGACAATTCAAACAGTAATGACTATAGTTGGCACTGTTGCTAAAGGTTCAACAATTCATAAGCAACTTCAAGATTATTCCCGGCAGCCTCCACATTTGGTAGTACCCTATTTTAGTAGTTCCTCCCTTGCTGGTAAAGAAAATGTGAATCCTGTCTCAAATGGGCAAGCACTGAATTCAAATTCCAGTTTGAATCATGAAATCTCTGCTCCACCTTCCACTGTGCAGTGTGAATCAGAAATGGGACCCCTTAGCACTCCTTCTAATGATTATTATGAGCTACAGCTTCAGCAGATATCAGATTGTAATGTTAATAACCAACAGCAAGAACAGAATATTTCAAGTTTTATGGAAAGTACAATTGATCCATCTGAAGCACAACAGCCAACAGTCCAAACAGAGACATTATCTATTGAAACTCTTACAGACAAGCAAAAGCAAATTGAAATGGCAACAAGAGGACAATCAACGAATCCTGCTTGGTTTGAACAAAAGCAAAACAGAATAACTGCCAGTATCTGTAAAGATGTCTTTTCTCATATGCAAAAACAGGGGTCAAAATTACCAGAAAATCTAGTAAAAAAAATTACAGCAAAAGGAGCACCCCCAAAAATGGTCAGCTATTCACAAGCTAAACATCTTAATTATAAAAATAAAGGATTCATGTTTGGTATTGAAAATGAACCTGTGGCAGCTGATTTGTACAAAGAATATCTCTTGTCATTGCCAGACATCAAGGAAGTGACAGTTCAAGAGACAGGATTAATTTTAGACAAAGAAAATGATGTTCTTGCAGCAAGCCCTGACAGAATTGCAACAATAGTGTATGCTAATGGTGACATTGAATACAGAAATGTGGAAACAAAATGTTTAGAGTCCAAGCAGGATATGTCACCAGAGACTGCAATAAATAATCATCAAAAGGAAAGCAGTTTCCTATTTATGGAACTGAACTCTATCTTTGTAGTAAAAGAAAAGCACAAATATTTGTTTCAGACTCAGATGCAAATGGGGGTCAGTGGAATTCCATTAACTGACTTTGTCATATTTACCAACAACACATTTCCAGTTTTGGTTCTCAAGGTCACATCATCCTCAAGGTGGGAGGATGAAATTAAGCCTAGTTTAATTGCTTTTCACAAGAAATATATCTCAAAATAAAAACAGTGAGTGTTTTTAGAACTGCAAAGCAACACTATTAGTTTCTTGGAAAATATAAGTTGACTCTAACAAAATGTCTGCATAAGAGCTTTAGTATGTTCTAAAGCACAAGGAATGGTATTCAAGTTATACTTTACAAGTGATGGGATGGTGGTGGTAGGGAAGGTGAAACTAGATATTTTTGTGTATTGTTTTTGAAAATTTTGACCATTATTTTTTAGGATTTGTCTTACAGATAGACTTTTAGGTTTGAAGAAAAGACAAATTTTGGTTTTATTTTCTATATTATTATCACCATCATCATTACTATAACAAATATATTTTCTTCAAGCACAGTCAGTCTCCATCAGTTTTAAATCTGAGTACCCAATCTACCCATGTGCATTTGATAGAATAATATTATTTTTGCATTCACTTTTTCACATATTAAGTCCTCCAATTATTGAAAAAACCCAAACCAGAGACTTAAATAAAGTAACAAGACCTGAACAGCTTCAGAATCTTTAGTTTAACATTCAATTCCTAAAAAACACACTTGTTAATTCCCTGATATAAGAACTCATCCCTTCCAAAATACTGAAAGCTTCCTTTCTTTAAACTGAAATAATTGGATATTGAAAATTTACTAACAAAGCACATACAGTCCAGATCTGATTTATGGACCCAAAGCTGGAAAGAGGCAGAACTTGACTAAAAATATGCCAAGCCTTGATTCGCTTAATTGCTCTTTCAACATGAATACGCACATTTGCTATACTCATGGTCTCAAAACACTGGCTTTGTGTAAACTGGTCATTGGCAGAAAATCTCTTTGGAGGAATATATAAACTTGCTCCTCTGAGGGCCATTAGGTCATGGATCTCAAAGCCCTTGTCTGCAAGGTATTGGTCCCCCATTTCAATTAACTGACAGAAGTTACTCTTCTCCACAATTTCCTTATCACTTATTCTCCCTGGATACAACTGACTAAATATGTTATCCATCCACTCGGTGAAATACAGATGAGCCCTTTAAATGTGTCGTGAGATTTATAGTCTGAGTACATTTCTGAGTCCTTCTGATAATCCTTGGGCAACTCACATTTCAGCTCTGTGCAATCAAGAATTCCACGTACGTTTTCATACCTTCCTTTAAAAGAATCTGGCAAGTGTTGTTTTATTTTGTCTCTTGAAGGCCATACAGGCAAACTTCCCAACATTATGTAAAGGTAGTTTGCCCAAGTAATAAAAACATCAGACACTGTACTTACAGAGACACTAAATCTGTGTGCCAAGTCACGCTCGAATAAGCCAAGACGAACCCTTGTTAGAAACAACCACAGCTGATCGATGGGCTCTATTTCTCTCTTTCTATTTCTTTGTTTCTCCTGTCCTTGCAAAAAAGGAAATGGATTAGCATTGTTTGCGGAGCTTCCTTTAACTTTTTCGCGTGCTGTGTTCCACGACATCAGCGACTCAGAGCAAGGTTTAATAAAGTTCCAAAATGCCATCAAAGCTCGGTAACCCTGAAATCCTGTGTAGAAATATATGTCATCATCATTCGATCCAAACCTCTCCAAACCAAATTGTGAAAGAAACAGCTTTTGTTTAAGTTCATAATTCTCGGCAACCAAGTCTCAACCAAGTGTATTACGGAAATTAATAGCGGAGCTCCACGCGCGCGCGAAGCGCGCGCGTGGGCGGAGCCCCATTGCTAAGTAAATCTACCCATCCCAGAAAATTTGGCAATCACGTGACCGTACACCGACCGCCCGCCGTCCGTCCGCACCACAGGAAAACCAATGTTTACTCTCACACTTTTAGCTAGTTTGGGAGCCCAAGAGAAAACTAATTGCACTGTGCAATCAGTTTTTTTCAGGCTGCACATCAATGTTGTGGTCAATTGACAGCTATCAAAACAGGGCATCCGCTGACAAGTATCACCTGACCGTACCGAGGGCTCAAGTGTCGACCCATCGAGGTCGAGTATTTTTTTAAAGTTATCCGCTGACAAATTACCAGTTTCAAATGATCGCAAGCTCAAGTTTATTTTTTCCAAGGATTCATATCAAATATGTTGTGTTTATGTCACTATGGCCCCGCATTATTAGGATTTTGATTTCAAACTGACCTCGGAAGCGAAAATTCATCCAGTTTTATTTTAAAGTACAGGCGGGGAAGACCTTATCTTACCATGGTCACGCGTTGGTCACGCTCTACGTCCAATTTTTATACTCTGATTGGTCAAAATTTGACAGGTGAGTTTATGCGGAAAAATTATGCAGCATCTTGAAAGTAGTTTACTTTGACAGCTGAAGCTGGCAGAGTTTTGTGTCAACTTGTGATGTTTTTAACTGAAATACAGCTGGTATCAAGAGTCTTCTGTTATTCATGGCTGGTTTGTTTACTGGGTTTTGGTTGAGAAATGCGTCGCTTGTCAAAATTCGGTAATTCGATCTCAGATGGCATCGTTTTCGGTTTTCACCTTGCTTAATGCGTAAGAGGGTTTAAAAGTTTCAAGCAACTGTGGCCTCCCTTGATAGCTTTCAGGAACTGAATCTCGAATGGTAAGCCTAAGTAATTATTGTATTTGATGTTTGTGTTTCAGGAAGTCTTGCACAGTTCACGCTGACAGTTTATGCGGCAAGTTTATGCACGTTTGCAGGATTTGAGTCAATGATCTGACCTAGTATCAGGTTTGATATAAGCTTACACACTTTAAAAAGTCTTCAGATATATTTGCTCACCACAAATAGAAAGAAAACGTTCCGAAGGATATTTAGTTATAAATTTGGCTGTAGAAAGAAACCTTTGAGCGATTTTCTTGCTTCGAGGAGTTCACCTTCGAAAGCAGTAAACACCGCGCTGGGAAGCCAGCTAAAACATAAACTTAAGCTTTACGCTGAACTGAAAGACTCAGGATTTTTAGAGACACTTTAATACTTGTCTTCGTGAATGAAAATTGTTGTCTCTGTAAATGTTTCACGGAATTATATCTCTTTTTTTGATTGTTAGTAGTCTCTCTCGCAATTTTAATCGCTTGTCCGTGCCGTTTGTTTTCATCGTTCATGACCATCGCTTGCAGGAGTACTCAAAAATGTCGCGCGTATCAAACGCTTTATAAGATTACACATCGTTATAACTGAAACCATTAAATAACAAAACAAATAATAATAAATTCGCTATTATGTTGAAGCGTAACTCTGTTAAAGTTCATTCAAACACTCGACCACACTGACAGCTCGCACTATAGAAACGAGAACCAGCTGGCCGTATGGGTGATTTTAGAAATTTTCTGAAATTTTTTAACGGTTTGGCTCGTCCTGAATATTGACTGAGTGCAATTTGTCTTGAAAAATTGTGAAATAGCGCATTCTGTCCGAGCTCTGTATGATAAATAGTACTGTTTCACCTCAAATGTGGTGTATAAAAATCATAAAAGGTTGGTTTAAACACCCCCAGATTTGTTGGCAAGAATTTGTAAAGTAAACCTGTCGAACGCAAAAAAAATTTGGCGTGATTTGTTTTCCAAGAATTTGTTTTCGAGGCCTAATCTACTGTGATCTTGAATGTGATCGAAGATGTTTGCTATTTTTTGGGTGTACATATAAGGTTATCAATTCGATGTAAGATGTTTCACTCTAAAACAACTTAGCCTTTCCCTCAAAAGTCACATGAATGTGCCCTTAAGTTAAATGATTTGTGGATTAAAAGTTTATTGTTTGATTTAAATTATAAATTTATTAAAATTGGAGCTTCGCTTTTAGCCCTGGCTAAATCTATATATTTACGCTATTCGCTGGATAGTGATTTATCCCGTGGATAGCGCTATCCAACGTTTGAACAACCAGGGCCTGTTGGACGGTACACGGCAAGTGTAATCTATTTGTCACTCTCTGTCAGTGAGACTTGAGCCAGTGAAGAAATACAAAAGGTTGTGTTCACTGACATATTGGATATTTGTTATCTTTGCGCTCACAAATACTGGTTCTAAACTTCTCATTGGATTAA